CCTCTACCTTCTCCTCCTCCGTCCTCCCTTCCTGCCCTTGCTGACCCGGAGTCTGACAATCTTCGTGCTGCTAGTCCTACTGTCACGCGTCTCCTGGCCACGGCTGTCACTAACCCGTCCTTTGAGTCTGCTGCTGCGTCTGCATTAGTTGCTGAGCTTGTCTACTTTGCTGCTCGCTGTCGTCTAGACTACGCCGCGAGTCTTGTTGCTGAATCTGAGTCTGTCTGTCCTCCGTCCGTTGGGGGTGAGTGTGCTCTAGGCACGGACGTCCTTGAGGACATGCAGGATGACTTTGAGTGCTTTGCCGCTGCTGTACCTCATCTCGTGTCCATGCTGATTGCACCTGAGGGAGACCCGGATGCACCAGACATCCCGACCCCGCGCTCTTACGCTGAGGCGATCGCGGGTGAGTACTCCTCTCAGTGGCAGTCAGCCATGGAAGTAGAGATGGCATCCTGGAAGTCTACTGGCACTTACGTCGACGAGGTTCCCCCTCCTGGGGCGAACATCGTCAATGGCATGTGGATTTTCAGGGTGAAGCGGCCGCCAGGTTCTCTGCCTGTCTTCAAAGCTGGTTACGTTGCTCGAGGCTTCAGTTAGCGAGAGGGAGTAGACTTCTTCCAGACCTTCTCCCCCACCCCAAAGATGACCACTCTTCGGGTGCTACTGCACGTTGCCGCTCAGCGTGACTACGAGCTTCACTCTCTTGACTTCAGCACTGCTTTCTTGAAGGGCAGCCTTTACGAGGATATCTGGCTGCGCCGCCCTCCTGGCTTCACTGGGTCGTTCCCTCCTAGTACCCAGTGGAGCCTTCGGCAGCCGGTCTACGGTCTCTGCTAGGCGCCACGTGAGTGGCACGACACACTGAGGACTACACTTGCGGCTCTTGGGTTCGCACCTTCTACTGCTGACCCGTCGCTGTTTCTGCGTACCGACACTTCGCTGCCGCCGTTCTACATCCTCGTGTACTTCGACGATTTGATCTTTTCCACTGCTGACATTGAGGCTCTCACCCACGTGAAGTCGGAGTTGCAGAAGAGACAAACGTGCACAGACCTTGGTGAACTGCGCAGCTATCTTGGCTTGCAGATCACCCGGGACAGAGCACGCCGCACCATCACACTGACTCAGTCACACATGGTGCAGCAGGTCCTTCAGCGCTTCAGCTTCACGTGGTCCTCGGCACAGGCCACTCCTCTGGCTATAGGTCATTCGCTCTGAGCTCCACCTTCGGACGAGTCCGTAGAGCCGATTGGTTCTTACCTATAGCTAGTTGGCTGCCTCATATACCTGATCACTTGCACTCGTCCTGACCTAGCGTACCCTCTTGGCCTTCTGGCTCGCTACGTGGCTCCTGGTAGGCACATAAAGGTGCACTGGGATGCTGCGAAGAGGGTACTGCGCTACTTGTGTAGTACATCGAGCACAGGGCTCGTGCTTGGAGGGAGGAGCTCAGTTGTTCTCACTGGGCACTCAGACGCTTCTTGGGTTGACGACCGGGCTACTCAGCGGTCCTCACAGGGTTACACCTTCAGCCTTGGCTCTGGCTCAGTTTTGTGGCGTTCTACGAGTTCGTCTTCAGTTCTCAGCTCCAGTTGTGAGGCTGAGATCTACGCCACAGCCATGGCTGCACAGGAGTTACGCTCGCTCACCTACCTGCTGACCGACCTAAGAGAGCTGCCTCGTTCTCCTCCAGTGCTGTACGTCGACAACAAGGCTGCCATTGCCTTGTGTGAGGAGCGCAAACTGGAGCACAGAACGAAGCACATTGCTCTACGTTACTTCCTGGCTCGAGAATTGCAGCAGCGTGGTCAGCTTCGTCTGCGTTTCGTGGCCACTTAGGCCAACACAGCTGATATATTAACCAAGACACTTCAATCTGGTGATCATCAGCGTTTCTGCACTTTGCTAGGGCTTGTGCCCACTTTTCCTCATTTGTTGTAGACTTTGCCTGTACTATGAGATATATATATATATATATGTACCTGCATGCTTGCTTTGCTAGGTGTAGATCACTGTGATGCTTGTGTTACATATATGTCTCTGCATGTGAACTGGCCTTGTGGCCTCTTGCTTGTGCTCAGTGAGTGTGGTGACGTTGTGATCCACCTTGAGCTTGCTTTGCCTTTCTTGACTGGTCTTGTGACCCCTTGCTCTCCCCCACTTTGCCTATGAGGGTGTGTCAAATGTTATAACTGCTACAGTCTGTTTAGGCTGTAGTGGGGTAGATACTATGGGGTATGAGAACTTTAGGGTTTCCTAAAGTCAAGGTGCGTTACGTGGCTCGTGGCTTCAGTCAGCGGCAGGGAGTTGACTACTTTCAGACCTTCTCTCCCACCCCGAAGATGACCACTCTTCGGGTGCTACTGCACATAGCCGCTCAGCGTGACTACGAGCTTCATTCTCTTGACTTCAGCACAGCTTTCTTGCAGGGCAGCTTGCACGAGGAGATCTGGCTACGTCGCCCACCTGGCTTCACTGGGTCTGTCCCTCCTGGCACCCAGTGGAGGCTCCAGCGGCCAGTCTACGGTCTCCGCCAGGCGCCACGTGAGTGGCACGACACACTGAGGACTACGCTTGCGGCTCTTGGGTTTGCTCCTTCTACAGCCGACCCGTCGTTGTTTCTGCGCACCGACTCTTCTTTGCTGCCGTTCTACATCCTCGTGTACGTCGACGACTTGGTCTTTGCCACAGCTGACACTGCTGGACTCGCCCACGTGAAGTCCGAGCTGCAGAAGAGACAAACGTGCACAGACCTGGGTGAACTGCGCAGCTACCTTGGCTTGCAGATCACCCGGGACAGAGCACGCCGCACCATTACCCTGACTCAGTCACACATGGTGCCGTAGGTCCTTCAGCGCTTCGGCTTCACGTACTCCTCGCCTCAGGCCACTCCTCTGCCTACTCGCCACTCGCTCTCAGCTCTGCCTTCGGATGAGTCCGTAGAGTCGAGTGGCCCGTACCCAGAGCTTGTTGGCTGCCTCATGTACCTGATGACCTGCACACGACCTGACCTTGCATACCCTCTTAGCTTCCTTGCACGCTATGTTGCTCATAGGAGACACAGACCGGAGCACATGGCTGCAGCGAAGAGGGTGTTGCGCTACTTGTGCAGTACGTCGGGCATGGGGCTAGTGCTTGGAGGGCAGAGTCCAGTGGTCCTCACTGGGCACGCAGACGCTTCTTGGGCTGACGACCAGGCTACACAGCGGTCATCACAGGATTACACCTTCAGCCTTGGTTCCAGCTCTGTTTCGTGGCGGGCTACTTGCTCGTCTTCCGTTCTCGGCTCCAGTTGTGAGGCTGAGATCTACGCAGGAGCCATGGCTGCTCAGGCACTTCGCTGGCTCACCTACCTGCTGACTGACCTCGGAGAGCCGCCTCGTTCTCCTCCAGTGCTGTACGTGGACAACAAGGCCATGCTGGCCTTGTGTCAGGAGCAGCGCCTGGAGCACAAAACGAAGCACATTGCTCTCCGCTACTTTCTTGCTCGTGAGCTGCAGCAGCGTGGTCAGCTGCGACTTGCGTACCTGGCCTCTGAGGCCAACACTGCTGATATCTTCACTAAGGCACTTGCGCCTTGTGATCATCAGCGCTTCTGTACTCAGCTTGGTCTTGTGCCTGCCTTGCCTCACTTGCTCACTTCTTGACCTTGCTTGTACTGTCACATATATATATACTCCTGGTCTTGCTTGTTTAGCCTTTTATATATATATGTGTGCTCTTGCATGTGAACTGGCCATTCTGGCCTTGAAGTTGTGCTCGGAATGTGTGGTGACTTTGTGATCCACCCTGAGCTTTGCTTTGCTTTGCTTGACTGGTCTTGTGACCCCTTGTTCTCCCCCACTTTACCTATGGGGGTGTGTCAAATCATAATGTTGTGTAGGCTGCAGTGGGGTAGCCTATATGGGGTACACATTTCTAGGGTTGCATATTTGTACCACATTCCATTCCTTAGTGCACATCATTCTCGTTTCACTTTTCTCAACCACTTCCACCCTCCAGGTTAATGCTTTGCGTAGCTCGTGGAGCGATACCGCGCAGAGTTCGGCCTTGGGTGCACTATTTCCGACTGGGCCTCGCTGGCTCGTACAGTTGGTCTGACATGTATGTTTTAGAGTTAGTTGTTGCTTAGCGATCCATCTGTGCTGATGACTCTAGTATTTAGTGTCAAACTCTTATGCTATAGTCTGTGTAGGCTGTAGTGGGGTAGACAATATGGGGTACAACACTTCTAGGTTTTCCTACTTGTACCTACCTGCTTGCTAGTTCATTCATTCCTCATTTCTTCACATGGTATAGAGCAGGTTCCCTAGTGGGAACTTTTCCTAGAGCCCACCGAAAATCATTTTTTTTTTCCTGCGCGGAGCGCGCTTCGCCCCTGCCCGAGTCGCGCCCCGTGTGCCTACTCTCCAGTCGCGTCCCCTGCCCTTAGTGGCCCATCGCACTCCCCTTCGGCCCCGTAGCGGCCCCTCTCACGGCCTTTCACGGCCCCTCTCACGGCCCATAGCGGCCCCTTCAGGCCCCTCGTGGCCCCTTCGCGGCCTCCCTTGGCGGCCCCTTCGTGGCACCTTCGTGGCCCCTTCCCGGCCCCTTCGCGACCCCTTCACGACCCCATCGCGGCCCCTTTGCGGCCCCTTCGTTGCACCTTCGTGGCCCCTTCACAGCCCCTTCGCGGCCCCTTCACGGCCCCTTCACGGCCCCTTCGCGGCCCCTTCGCGGCCCCTTCACGGCCCCTTCACGGCCCCCTCGCGGCCCCCTCGCGGATCCCTTCGCGGCCCCTTCACGGCCCCGCCCCGCTGCCCGTAGCGACCCCGCCTCATCGCCCTTCGCGGCCCGCCGCGTCGCCCTTCGCGGCCCCGCCCCGTAGCCCTTCGCGGCCCCGGCCCGTCGCCCTTCGCGGCCCCGCCGCATCGCCCCCGCCTCGTCGCGTCGCCCCTGCGGGACCCACGAGGCGCGGCTCCTGTGCGTCGCGACGCCACTGCTGGACCCGCGTGGCGTCACCGCTGCCCGCCGCGGCGCCCTGCCCTAACCCGCGCCCCTGGAGCAGCCGCCCCTGCAGCAGCCGCCCCTGGAGCAGCCGCCCCTGAAGCAGCCGCCCCTGAAGCAGCCGCCCCTCGAGCAGCCGCCCCTGGAGCAGCCACACCTGCAGCAGCCGCCCCTGCAGCAGCCGCCCCTGCAGCAGCCGCCCCTGGAGCAGCCGCCACTGCAGCAGCCGCCCCTGGAGCAGCCGCCACTGCAGCAGCCGCCCCTCAAGCAGCCACCACTGCAGCAGCCACCCCTGGAGCAGCCGCCCCTGCAGCAGCCGCCCCTGGAGCAGCCACCACTACAGCAGCCGCCCCTAGAGCAGCCTCCCCTACAGCAGCCGCCCCTGAAGCAGCCGCCCCTGGAGCAGCCGCCCCTGGAGCAGCCACACCTGCAACAGCCGCCCTTGGAGCAGCCGCCCCTGCAGCAGCCGCCCCTTGAGCAGGCGCCACTGCAGCAGCCGCCCCTGGAGCAGCCGCCACTTCAGCAGCCGCCCCTGAAGCAGCCACCACTGCAGCAGCCGCCCCTGGAGCAGCCGCCCCTGCAGCAGCCGCCCCTGGAGCAGCCGCCACTGCAGCAGCCGCCCCTGAAGCAGCCTCCCCTGAAGCAGCCGCCCCTGAAGTAGCCGCCCTAGGAGCAGCCGCCCCTACAGTAGCCACCCCAGGAGCAGCCGCCCCAGGAGCAGCCGCCCTTGCAGCAGCCGCCCCTGGAGCAGCCACCCCTGCAGCAGCCGCCCCTGGAGCAGCCGCCCCTGGAGCAGCTGCCCCTGGAGCAGCCGCCCCTGGAGCAGCCGCCCCTGCAGCTGCCGCGGAGCCCTCGCCCCACAGTGGTAGCGGCCTCGCCGTTGCCGCCATCGTACGCCTGCCCTTCTTGCCACTGGTGAGCACTGCCCTGCCCGTTCTGCTGTTACTGCTGCTCTTGCTGCTACTGCTCTTTCTACTGCTACTGCTGCTCCTGGCGGGGCCAGATACAGCTCCAGCGACGTCCGCGTGAGTCCTTCACGCCCTAGCAGCTTCGTGAGTGGTACGCTACTTGGGATTGTCGGGGTGGCCGTAGTGGGAGTCGTCCTGGAGTGAGTAGTTCGACAGTTGCTTGTAGTGGCCAAGTGCAGCTGCAGCGTGGTCCGCGCGCGGTCCTTTCGCCCCAGCAGCTTCGTGAGTGGTACGCTCAGCGTGGCGGGTCACGGGGTACTGCTCGCTGTCTGTACCTCATTCGCACTGGTACTCGGACTGTTCAGCCTTGCGGGACGTTTGGTCACGCAGAGTCCTGCTGCTTCGCCCGTCTGAGCGACGCCTGGCGTACAGAGTTTGGCGACGCGGCTGAGCTCCCCGACTGGGTGGAGCTGCTTAGGCTGCGGGTTGATATCTATACTCTTGACTATGATGCTATCCTCACTGCCATGTATGCATTGCCTAATAGTGATGAGGGTGACTGTTACCTGTGTGTTCCGCCTGACCCGGGCATTGAGGCTGCTGCTCTAGGTGCTGGTGAGGCTGCTGCTCTAGGTGCTAGTACGTTTGCTGCTCCAGGTGCTAGTGAGTCTGCTCTCTCATGTACCACGTCGGCTCAGGCCTTACACACCTTCACCCTTGACTCGGGTGCTTCCCGCTCCTTCTTTCGAGACCGCACCACTCTTACGCCGCTTAGTCGGCCGGTTGCGGTCTCCCTGGCGGACCCCTCTGGGGGTCCTGTCCTTGCTCGCTTCTCCACTATCTTACCGTGTCCGACAGCCCCCTCTGGCACCCTGTCAGGTCTCTACCTCCCGTCGTTCTCTACGAACTTGGTGAGTGGAGCTTATCTACAGGATAGGGGGGTTGACCAGTTCACTCCTGCAAGTCAGCAGGTGACCCACTGTACGTGTGCTCGGACGGGCCGACACTTGGCCACGTTTACCCGTCGGCCGAGGTCGAGCCTGTACACACTGACTACTGAGTCTCCTCCGGGTGCGGAGTCTGGTCAGGTAGCTGCGTTGAGTCAGGTGTTTGCTGCAGCGTCCAGGTCTGGTCCTGAGTCTGCGCCCTGCTCGTGTCGTCTCCTGTCCCACCAGACTCTCCTTTGGCACCACCGCCTTGGTCACCCCTCCCTGCCTCGTCTCCGAGGCATGGCCTCCCGTGTCCTCGTCTCTGGTCTCCCCTGGTCCCTCCCTCCCCTCCCTCCGGGGCCTGCCCCTACCTGCGTTCCCTGCGTCGAGGGGCGGCAGCGCGCCGCCCCTCACTCCTCCGAGTTTCCTCCGACAGAGGCTCCGCTGCAGACTCTTCACATGGATGTGTGGGGCCCCGCCCGCGTCCGTGGCCAGGGTCACGAGCGTTACTTCCTGTTGTTGGTTGACGACTACTCGCGTTACACCACGGTGTTCCCCTTGCGCAGCAAGGGTGACGTCACTGAGGTGTTGATCGACTGGATCCGCGCAGCTCGTCTCCAGCTCAAAGAGAGTTTCGGCTCGGACTTTCCTGTTCTGCTGACTGACCTAGGAGAGCCGCCTCGTTCTCCTCCAGTTCTGTACGTAGACAACAAGGCCATGCTGGCCTTATGTTGGGAGCACAGACTGGAGCACAGATTGAAGCACATTGCTCTTCGCTACTTCCTTGCTCGTGAGCTGCAGCAACGTGGTCAGCTGCGCCTTGCTTACGTGGCCTATGAGGCCAACACTGCTGATATCTTTACCAAGGCACTTCCGCCTTGTGATCATCAGCGCTTTTGTACGATGCTAGGTCTTATGCCTACTTGGCCTCACTTGCTCACTTCTTGACCTTGCTTGTACTGTGATCTTTCTATACCTGCACTTGCTTGTTTACCTATATATATGATCTTGCATGTGAACTGGCCTTGTGGCCTTGCTCTTGTGCTCGGACTGTGTGGTGACGTTGTGATCCACCATGAGCTTGCTTTGCTTTGCTTGACTAGTTTTGTGACCTCTTGTTCTCCCCCACTTTGCCTATGGGGGTGTGTCAAACTCTTATGCTATAGTCTGTGTAGATTGTAGTGGGGTAGACAACATGAGGTACAACACTTTTAGGTTTTCCTACTTGTACCCACCTGCTTGCTAGTTCATTCATTCCTCATTTCTTCATATTTAGCACTCTAGTTATTACTCATGTTTGTCCAGCTTAGGTGATGTGGAGGTTGCTAGTGCTATATAGCTAGGGTAGCTTGCACAGGTTCAACCACAGTGGCTACGTCTCTTTCGTTAACGCTCGACTCTGGTGCGTCAAGTTGTTACTTTCACGACTACACTGACCTCACACCACTATGCACTCCAGTCTCTGTCGCCCTAGCTGACTTTATACCCGGACATGTCACTGCATACAGTACCACTACTCTTCCATGTTCGGCGGCCTCCTGTGGGGTCCTTACAGGTTACTACACCCCCTCATTCTCGGCGAACTTGGTGGGTGTCAATCACCTCCACGACCTCTGTGTCACCACCCTCTTCCATACAGACGAGCCTTTTACCACCTACACAGACGATGCCACTGAGGCGCATCTAGCTGCTTTTTATAGAGAGCTGGGCTCTGGTCTGTACTCGCTACACACAGGGTCCCACCACGTCAGGTTAGGTCAGGTCAGGTCGCTACTGTAATGCGCGACTATCGGTCACTAGCCAGCGTCGGTCCTCTGGCTCCACCGTCTTGTTCACCCGTCTTTCCCGCATCTCAGTGAGATGGTTTGAAACCGTCTGGTCTCAGATCTCCCAGCGTCGCTCGCCCCATTTCCTAGCTCGCCTGTGCCGCCGTGTACCCCCTTCGACGAGGCTCGGCAGCGCGCTGCCCCTCACTTCTCCTTGTTTCTTCCCATCACGACTTCTTCGCAGACTGTGCACATGGACATCTGGGGCGCAGCCCTAGTCTGTGGACACCGTCACGAGCACTACTTCCTGGTCCTAGTCGACGACTACTCTTGCTACACCACGGTGTTTCCCCTCCGACGGAAGGTCGACGTGCCTGACGTTCTCGAGCCATGGGTGCTAGCGACCTATGGCACCGAGGGCCGATATGTGCTCCGTCAAAACTTCACATGTGGTGAGTTTACTTTTGGCCGTCTTGACATGTTCTGTTAGGGTTAGGGGATCACCCAGACTTACACACTTCTTGGCTTGCCACTGTAGAATAGGGTCGCTGAGGGACGACTTGGATTGGTAATAGAGATTGCTCGTACCTTCGTGTGCCATGCGGGTTCCCGTGAGGATCGTATTATCGAGTTAAGTTTTTTTTTTTTATGATCACCTAGGTACAACACGAGGCTACATATTGGCACGATACAAGGCAAGGTAACTAGGTGTTACGAAAAGGTTCCGAGGATTGTGAAGCGTCCGGAATGTGACCTTCCTGAATTCGGTAGAATTAATTCGGTGGAATCACGCGTTTCGCAAAGTCATGCATTGATAATAGAAATGAAACAGAACACAGTCCATGTAACCTAATTCGGTGCCTATTTGTATAGTAGCTTTTGTAAAGCATCGAAACCAGGAAAACATGTTAAGAAATGAGGAATGAATGAACCAGCACAAGGTTGGGTACAAGTAGGAAACCCTAGGAAACTGTACCCCATAGTGTCTACCCCACTATAGCCTAGACAAGCTATATGATATAAGTTTGACACACCCCCATAGGCAAAGTGGCGGAGAACAAGAGGTCACAAGACCAGTCAAGCAAAGCAAAGCAAGCTCAGGGTGGATCACAACGTCACCACACAATCCGAGCACAAGAGCAAGGCCACAAAGCCAGTTCACATGCAAGATTATATATAAAGGAAAACAGGCAAGTGCATGTATAGAAATATCACAGTACAAGCAAGGTCAAGAAGTGAGCAAGTGAGGCCAAGTAGGCACAAGACCTAGCATAGTACAGAAGCATTGATGATCACCAGGCGGAAGTGCCTTGGTAAAGATATCAGCAGTGTTGGCCTCAGAGGCCACGTAAGCAAGGCGCAGCTGACCACGCTGCTGCAGCTCACGAGGAAGGAAGTAACAAAGAGCAATGTGCTTCATTCTGTGCTCCAGTCTGTGCTCCAGTCTGTGCTCCAGTCTGTGCTCCCGACACAAGGCCAGCTTGGCCTTGTTGTCTATGTACAGAACTGGAGGAGAACGAGGCGGCTCTCCTAGGTCAATCAACAGGTAGGTGAGCCAGCGTAGCTCCTGTGCAGCCATGGCCCCCGCGTAGATCTCAGCCTCACAACTGGAGCCGAGAACAGAAGACGAGCGGGTAGACCGCCACGAAACAGAGCCGGAGCCAAGGCTGAAGGTGTAACCCTGTGACGACCGCTGCGTAGCCTGGTCGTCAGCCCAAGAAGCGTCTGCGTGACCTGTGAGGACCACTCGACGTCGCCCTCCAAGCACTAGCCCCATGCCCGATGTACTGCACAAGTAGCACAACACCCTCTTCGCTGCAGCCATGTGCTCTGGTCAGTGTCTCCCAGGAGCAACATAGCGTGCCAAGATGCTAAGAGGGTATGCAAGGTTAGGTCATGTGCAGGTCATCAGGTACATGAGGCAGCCAACAAGCTCTGGGTACGAGCCACTCGGCTCTACGGACTCATCCGAAGGCAGAGCTGAGAGCGAGTGGCGAGTAGACAGAGGAGTGGCCTGAGGCGAGGAGTACGTGAAGTCGAAGTGCTGAAGGACCTGCTGCATCATGTGTGACTGAGTCAGGGTAATGGTGCACTGTGCTCTGTCCCGGGTGATCTGCAAGCCAAGGTAGCTGCGCAGTTCACCCAGGTCTGTGCACGTGTGTCTCTTCTGCAGCTCGGAATTCACGTGGGCGAGTCCAGCAGTGTCAGCAGTGGCAAAGACCAAGTCGTCAACGTACACGAGGATGTAGAACGGCGGCAAAGAGGTGTCGGTGCGCAGAAACAGCGA